CATAATCCCAGCCTTGGATCACACATAATCCCAGTGGATCATGAGTTAACACAAACTCTAGAAGTCCTCACCCCATGACTACATGGGGCTTTGGGGGAACAACTAGACACAAACCATAACAATCATCAAAAGACATTTAAATACTAGCAGGTATAACACCATCTAAACTTTCTTTGATTAATTGGCAGTACACAATTTTGATCATTCAGCAGATAACACTTTGAGTCTTTTGCATGCTGAACACTGAACAAGGGGCCCTTTTCCTATAATTACAAACATCTTCACAGAAATTTAATTTTCTACTGACTTAAAACTAATTAACCATTCTTAGATATTTAGTGCCTTCCATAGTTTTGCTGTTACAATTAAGATGTAACAGGTATGTCTAGGGATATTTACAGTATAGTTTTCTTAGATTATCAGATGAGAGATGCTGTATCAAAGATTGAAGACATCATAAAAACTACAGTTAGATTTAAGAGTTAAAATTTTATATAATCTCTGCATCGCCACCATTTTTCTCTATAGTTCCATTTGGGACCCAAAAGATCTTCATTTTCCAATCGCTTTTATATCGCACAAGAGTAAAAATTTACCCTGAAGCAAAAAATAAATCTAAGATTTTTGGGGGGCAGGGATATAACTCAGTGGCACAGCACCTGCCTGACAAACACAAGTTTCCTGAATTTGATTCCCAGTACCAAAAATAAAAACAAAAATAAAAATTCAAGCTGATTGCTGTGGTTTAGGGCTTTGCAAGGGGAACAATAAAATATGGACACATTTTATAAGATTATTTTATAATGAATCACCTAAAGAATCACATATAAAGCATGCAGGAAATCTGTCCATAAACTAAAGACCAAAGAATCCAGCTGAGGGCCTGGATCCTAACGTCCTGCATGAGTCCAGCTGAAAACCCAGAGCTTGTAACAGTGCCTCCCACAAGTCTAATAGAGGCCTAGTGCAGGTGACAATGTCTCCTGCAGGTCTGCTTCATGCATCAGGCCCAAAGGTCAGTGGTGGAAGCTAGCAAGTCTGTGCCAGCGGGATGAAGGATCTGTGCTGGCAGACTGAGGGATCTGAACAGGAGCCAGGAGGCAGAGCTCAAGGTAAAAACCAGAGCTTAAAAAAAAAAAAAAAATCAGCACAGCCATCCTCAGCAACAGTGAGGTCCTGAGCTCCTCTGACAACGAGGAAGGCCAAATTCCCACCAAGAAAGCCTACATGACAAGCTCCACCAGGAGACTACACTGTGCACCATCTTCCCCTCCAGAGCCAGGAAGCAATGTTCAAGATGAGGACCAGAGCTCCTCCAAAGTAATCCACAGCCATTCTCAGCAACAGCAACAGCAACATCCTGAGCTCTTCCTTTCAAGGAACAGCCAAGATTTGCCCAGGTCCTCCAGCGGAATAGCCCAAGAAAACCACAGCTGCTCAACAGCTTCTAGCAGCCTCCCTAATAGTCTCTCGGGTTCTACCTCTTAGGCTGCTGGCAACAATCTTCAGGTGGGCCTCCCACACCCAGAAGCACATTAGTTCAGTTCAGCGGGGTATAGCAAGTTGGCCACCAGTTGGCAATCCTCCACAGTAACAGTCCAGCCATACATGCAGGAGATATTACTTGATTAAGAAGTTAAGCCCTGAGACCAGGTGCAGATCACATAGATGAAGCTATAAAGTATGTGTGGTGGGGAAGAAGGTAGACAAGAAGAGAACACTGTGAGAAAGGAAGGAAACAAGGAAAGAAGGGGGAAAGACAGAAGGGAGAGGATGAGGATGGCAAGGAGAGACTAAGGAGATGAGGGAGAGAGAATAAGATATTACAGTTGTACCAAAGAACCATGCTTACCTTGAGAGGAAGCCCCTGTGATGTGACTCTCTCTGCAAGAGCTTCTTGACTTAAAAAAAAAAAAAGTATCTATGCATGATTACAATTATAATTAACTTATTTTTTCTTTTTGAGACAGGGTCTTGCTATACAGCTCAGGCTGGCCTTGAGCTCATTTTGTAGCCCAGGCTGGTGTCAAACCTACAACAATCCTGCTGCTTCAGCCTGCTGAGTACTGGCATTACAGGTGTGTGCCGCCACGCCTGGCCTTAATATATTTAGTAAGCCTAGTACTACGCTAGGTTCTGGGGCTATCACAGGAAGACAATTCCTTCCCTTTTTTGATTTCTCTTTGGGGGCAGAGATAGCCGTGGGATTTCTATATAAGGATGTAAGATAGGATAAAAACAAGACATCAAAGGATACCATGGACAGTGTCCAATTATGTAAGTATTCCAAGATTAACAAGTTTTACAACAGAGAGGGTATCTAAGTTAAAATTCCAAGAACAAGGGGGACCTGGATAAGGAAAATCGTGGGACTCTTAGGCAAGTAGAATGCAGTGTTGTAGCAGTATAAACTGGAAGATTATTGTCCCTAGAAAGCAAGGAACAAAGAACAGAGCCTAAAAACAAAAGCCTGAGGAAATGTGTCAGCCCTATTAATCCCAGAAAACTGGGACACATTCCTGGAGGCACCTGTCCTTTGTTCCTTTAACTGGGATATTACCAACTAATGATATGTAAACTTACAGATTGGTAAATGCCAGAAGGCGATGTGAATAACTGATCGTTTACACTAAATTAGTTATGCACATTCCTTAGCCTGTTTTTAACCCTCAATAAATGTAAGCGATTTCCCTTGTTCGGGGCTCACGTAGAGACTAATCTCAGTGAGACCTCTATAACTCTATTCATTGGGTCTTCTCATTTCTTTTGGCACCAACTGATAATATGTAACACTGTCTTCTAAGAATTGGAAGTAAAGAAGAACAAAGAGCATACATTAAAATGTAAGTGGCAAAAAAAAAAAAAAAGTAAGTGGTTATCATTACCCCCAACTGAGCTAACCAAGGCAGAGAGATGTTAAATAACTCTAGGTTATACAATATGTGGCAGAACTGGGATTTGAAACCATGACTGACCCCTAAGCCCTCTGCTCTTTGGTTCCACTCCACTCTTTCCAACACCCACCTCTCTCGGAACTTTGTTTTTTGGATTAATTCACAGGTAGGCTAAGTATCATACAGCATAAGTACAGGGATGGCTAGGAGGTCTTCAATTACTTCCCAGTAAACAGAAGTCACTGACAAACATTCTCTTTTGCATGAGTGGCTGTATTCTAGATCTTTCGGCAAGATTTCCAATTACAGATCAGCCAACTAGATTTTTCCTTTGAAGTAAAAGGTAGAAAGTGAGGGGTACTACCTTCACAGAAATGAACTAACGAACATCTGTGCCCTGTATTTAACACCACATTCTGATACTTTATAAAAGGACAATACCATAATAAATACGGAAGAAAAATACTTCTCCAAAGCAGTTTCTGGTTACTATGGTATCACCACTTTTGTTTCCAGGAATCAAATCTTTCCTGCTGACTTCAGGGGAAGCCACTGATTCTAATGATTTTTAAAGACTTTTAAAGTTAAATCCAGTAGAATTCTTGGTATCCAAAATATACTGAGTATACTTGTGCTGAACTCCTATTTACTTAAGACTCAGGAGAGAATGTGAAAAAAAAAAAAAAAAAAAAAAAAAACTGTGGTCATAACGCAGCTATTCCAAAGAAAAACATTGAACACAACACATTAAATTCTCTGGAGAGTGCAGATTATTAACTGCACACTTGCTGAAGAGATATAAACACAAATGATTGCTCACTTTTAGAGGGGCTTCCCATCTGTAAAAAAAAAAAATAAAGAACATTGTAGAAGCCTTGTGAACAAATATCCGTAAGTGACATGCACAGTCATATGGTTTCTACATTCTATGTTCTTTGTGGCATAGGCCAGTTTGACTTTCCATTTTTTAACATCTTTGAAAATGCCACTGTCTTTTTCTCTTCAGTTGACCTTCTACCACCTGCAGAGAAGTAGGAATCCTTTCTCTCTAGCTTTCATCAGTGGTTGCTTAAGCCTGGCTCAGAGACAGAATGTACTGTGTGACACATGAACTACACCTCCAAGGGCTGGCCTTCTGTGGGCCACAGGAGACCCCTTGAGTGCACACCTGAACCAACTCAACTCTCTAAGGGAAGCCAGAGAAGCTCCTGCTTGTGGCTCCCTGCTGCCTTATGAAGAAACCAGCTACAGTACAGCTGAGGATGGGAAGATGCCAGAATCCCTGGACCACATTCACCTGGGGGGGGGTATATAAACATATTTCAGTTTTATTCAGAGTTATTATTTCTAAGCTTTAATGCTCTCTTCTCACTCCTTGTCAGTAGGAGTTCTCAAAAGTTAGAGACAAACTGTATACTTACAGATATCCTGGGATTTTCCTCTTGACCTTTGATTGAAAGAATAGTGTCTTATAGGACTCAGAGAGGAAAGGATTAAACTTGACTAGAATCTCTGAGCTGGCCTCCTCCATGAAATGAGGAGGCGTGACCTCCATGTGCTTAACGCTGCGTGGAACAACCTTCCCAGTTGAAGAAATCTCCAGCTGGCTCAGCAGACTCTACAATAAGAAAAACAAAGGCAAGTTAGAATATAGTAGAAAAAAAAAAGTTCTGTACTAGACAGTTAATATTTGAACCAAAGAACCTGATTGCTAAAGGGGGCATTAAAGATGATCTGGTTCAGTTGGAGGCACCAGAAAATACACTGAATGCAAAGGACCTTATCAAGACAGGCCCATAAAAGTTTCTGCATCTTAAAGTAGAGAGCATGTCCATAGCCCTGGACAAGCATGGGCAGAAGTTGTCCCAGGAGACAGAGAGCAGACGGCACCCCCAGGAACAGCTACCTACAGCAGTGCAGACAGGTGCAGCTGCAAGATCACCTAGCGGTCCCTCCCCTCCTGTTCCAGGTCTTGCTGAGCTGCAAATGCAAGCAGAAGGTGAAGCAGCACCTGAATAGGCCACCACCATATTCTAACACCACCTGTATTCTTTCTTGTCTAACTGATATGAATCAACAAAGTCACCCATCACCTGCACCTAGGCCTTCCTCCCAAGCACCCCTCTATATCTAATTCTAAGGAGTCACAGTTTCTGCAGCAAAATTCACCAAACTTTAATTCTCCTTATGTGATGATGGGCCGCAAGAAGACCATTCCTCCACCTTTTATTTTAGGGAGTTCAAATGTTAGGAAACACAGGATTGGAAATCTCTTCCCAGACATACTATTGTCTCTCAGTCAGATGGCCTAAAGAAATATGCACAGTGCAAGGGTTCATTGTTATTGCTATAGATCAAAAATTCCAGAAACACATCAGAATCCCCATAATGCCAGTCCTCCTACAAGTGGCCACAATGGCCACAGGCCACAAAACCCAGTCTTTCCTTCTGTTGCTTTCCCAGTAGAAGATGTAGCTTTAAAAAAAAGGTTCAGGATCTGGTGACAAACATATGCCTTTTGGAAGTTATGGTACTGCTGGAGAGATTACTGTGACCAGAGTCCATGTTTGCACAACAGAATCTTAAATCTGGTAGGTACATTTTCCCACCATACTACAGAGGCCTTTATATATTCAAGTTCTCAGCACTTTGGTGTGTCAACCCAGAGCCTGAGATTTTTTTTAAATGGAATTGATACAATCCATGAGTCAGGGCATACTTCATTTGGTGGGTTGTCTCCAACTGTCTACTAGTTACTAATAATGGCCCAATAATTGAACCAAGAAAATAGAGAAAGACGATCTGGTTCAGCACAAGCTAGATGAGGTGAAGTGCTGCACTTACAGAACCAAGTCTCTACAGTACCTGTTCTTTGAGATAGGGTCTCACTGTGTAGCCCAGACTGGGTTTGAACTCCTGGCGACCCTCCTACTGCAGCCTCCCAAGTGCTGGTATTATAGCTGTGCACCTCTACATTGGGCTACAGTGTCTAAGTATTCTTGTGCACACGGTCAGCACAGGAGCCTGTACTTCTGTCAGCCTCTGTCCCTTTGCCTGGGCAACGGTGCTAGCTATGAAACTCACCTGTTCTCATCCTACTGCCAAGTTTTAAACATGAGGACATTTTAAGAAAAATACTTTGTTTAGACAAAAATGATTCTATAAAAAAACCTTGTCCTTATGTTCTCCTAGTTAATTCTTTAACTTCCCTTCAATTATTCATCCAAGTATCTGTTTGGCGCCTGCTAAGTAACATTTACTGTGACAGCTATTGAGGGGCACTGAATGAAATGTAGCTCTTACAGAAAGCAGTCCACTCACCTGCAGTTTGGGCTCTGAAATAAAGATTTTTGTAAAGGAAAGATTTCATGGACTACCTAAACGTGAAAGAAGCTCCCAGTTTCACTTAATATAGCATTAAATGAGAAGATCTCTATGAAGAGGGGTAAAGAGATTGAAAAATATTCAGAAGCAATCTCTTAAGATGTGAGGGCTCTGCCGTCACTGTAACCAGCTACATGGGGGGGTGTGCTTCAGGAAAAGGACATCTTCCTAACTAAATCTAACCCACAGTGCAAGAAGAAAGGTCAGTGGCAAAGAATTCTAGGCTGGGCATGGTGTCCCACGCCTGGTAATTCCGGCTCTCAGGAGCCTGAGGCAGGAGGATCATCACAAGTTTGAGAGCAGCCTGGATTACAAACTGAGTTCAAGGCCAGCCTGAACTGCATAGCTAGACCCTGTCTCAAAGAAACAAAAGAAAGAATTTTAAGGCAGCCCTAAGAGTCAGGGATGAGAGGAAATAGCTTTGCTATAGATATAAGAAGTACACAGAAGCGTACTGGTGCTGCTCTGGGGACTCAAAGTATAGGCATTAAACTGTGAGACTTTATAAAAGAATCCTAACAGCCTCTGATCTGACCCTGCCATGTAAAAGCAGAAGCCAAACTACACTATCACTCATTAAGAATGTGAGTCTAGTGTAGGGGAGATAGCTCAGCAGCATAAGTGCCTGCCTCACAAGCTCAAGGTCATGAGTTTGATCCTCAGTACCAAAAATTTTTTAAAAAGTTACAAATAGTGGACTCATAAATATTCAATAAATGATTGATATGATATGAAACAAAGGAAGCTGCCAGGTGCACACAATAATATGCTTTTTTTAAGAGAAGAAAAATACATTAGACTGGGGATGTAGCTCAGTGAGAGAGTGCTTGCCTAACATGTACAAGAGTTTTGTGCATATCTTATTTGTAGAGCAAATAATCCTGGGGGATTTGGGCAAAGCCCTCGCGGACAAGCTCAGGAGTTTTCAGGCAGTGTATTGTGAGGATATCTTGTCTGGTCACAATAAAGCTATACAACGTTTCTCAGTTATCAATGTGACTTGGAACACGAACTTAGACTTATAGTAAATTGTTCCCTGGGAAACAATTTTTTGGTAAGGCTATCGTGCGGCAAGTAAAACGCATCTGTTATGACTTGAAGTGATGCTGAGTGCTGCAGAATCAGGGAAGACAGCATCAGAATTCCTAGTCTGGAAATACACAGCTAGTGGATCCTGGGAGCTTCTCCTGCAATCTGGGGGGAGACTGGAAGTTCATTATGGAAGAAAGGTCTGCGTGCAGGAAGGCAGCTTGGACTCTGAAGATGACAGAGACTGAGAGAATAAATGTGCTCCAAGGAGCGTCATGCATCCCTGAGTCACAGCTCTACAGATGACTGATGAGCACCCAGGAGCAGAGCATTGCTTGTTGACTTCTGAAAAGGATAAAGCAACGGTCACACAAAACCTACTATGGGATGGGCCTGGGAATGACTTTAAAGGCCCAGCTGGTCCCCTTCTTGTGCTGATGCTTCGTTCTCTTTACGATGTTTCAATCAGTGATGGGCAGCTAGCATCCAATGTATTTAGCTACATGGACCTTACTATCTCTATACAACACTCATCTATCTTGAAGTAACGCTGCTAGTTCCTTAGGGAAAACTGAAGTTGATTTCATCTGATTTCTGGTCATCTCTGGGGCAAGGCTGGACCAGACCAACCCTTCTTGCCCTGTACATCCTTATCTTCAGGATAACACCACGGCTTACCACTACCTTCTCTCTTCTTCCCCTAATCACAATGCAGTTCTCATAACATGAACTTTCT